CGCATCCCAGATCTTGACTGTGTTGTCACTTGACCCGGATGCGAGCCGCGTTGAGTCGTGTGAGAAGGCGACTGACCTGACCCAATCGCTATGCCCCTCCAGCGTTGATAGGCACTCGCCATTGGTCGTATCCCAGATCTTAACGGTGTTGTCGTTCGACCCAGATGCGAGCCGCGCCGAGTCGTGTGAGAAGACGACTGAGCCAACCCGATGGCTATGCCCCTCAAGCGTTGACAGGCACTCGCCATTGGTCGCATCCCAGATCTTGACTGTGTTGTCACTTGACCCGGATGCGAGCCGCGTTGAGTCGTGCGAGAAGGCGACTGACCTGACCCAATCGCTATGCCCCTCTAGCGTTGACAGGCACTCGCCACTACTCACATCCCAGAGCTTGACCGTGTTATCGCTTGACGTAGATGCGAGCCGCATCGAGTCGTGCGAGAAGACGACTGCCGAGACTGCACCGCTATGCCCCTTAAGCGTTAATAGGCACTCGCTACTGTTCGTATCCCAGATCTTAACGGTGTTGTCGCTTGACCCGGATGCGAGCCGCGTTGAGTCGTGTGAGAAGGCGACTGAGCCGACCCAATCGCTATGCCCCTGTAGCGTTGAAAGACATTCGCCACTGCTAACACCCCAGAGCTTAACTGTGTTGTCGCTTGACCCAGATGCGAGCCGCGTTGAGTCGTGTGAGAAGACTACTGAGAACACCGGATCGATATGGCCCTCAAACGTCGACAGGCATTCGCCATTACTTACATCCCAGATCTTGACTGTGTTGTCACTTGACCCGGATGCGAGCCGTATCGAGTCGTGCGAGAAGGCGACTGACCTGACCCGATGGCTATGTCCCTCAAGCGTCTGGAAGCAGGCACTCCATTTATCTCCTATATTCGGCTTTATCGTAATCCACTGTGATTCTCCTTCCTCGAAATGACTCCTTACTAGGCTGCTCGTCGGGCTGAACACAAGTGCGGATACGTATGCCTGCAGAGGACTATTCTCTATCGCCCACTTGTGAGCCATAATGAATCGGCGCGCATCTCGAACCAGCGCAATCAGCTTAGTTGCATCTGCTTTTCCCTAGACTAAATTAGTACGTGTAATGCATGAGTAGCTCTGCGGGTTGAAGGATTACATTGACTAACGCCTCAAGTTTTGCCATTGAGATTACTCCTTTCGGCATGCTTTTGCACAAGCTAAGAGCCTCGAGCCAGTAGAGGTATTTCTTCCTTAGAAATTCGTGAACAGGGCCCTCATCTCGCAGGTCAACCGAGGAATTCGCAGAAGAACTGAAGCTCCAGTCACAGAGGTGATCGATCCAGTAGATGCACGAATAACGTGACGCCGCTAAAGGGTCTGGATCTGGCGGTTCCACTTGCTCCGCAGGATACCCTGGCGCACGCAAGTTGTACACGTCCCGTTGGAGCGTCTTAGACATAGCTTGGAGCGATTTCAATACGATAGAATGGTGAACATCCTCAACCCCACACGGCAAGATGTTATGGCTTGCTTCACTAGATAGAAAGTCTCGAGCTGACTGATGGATGATGTAGACACTACCTTCTTGTATCGTGAGGAATGAGCCACACATATTTACAATCGCGGTAACGGCTTCATTTACGTCCCGGGCCTGGGTGGGCAAGCCGGATAAACTATGCAGCTCTTGCAGGCGTAGCGGACGGTAAGCTGCAATGACAGTAGAGAGAACTTGCCGACAAAGTTCTGGATATTGACGCTGCAACCGTTCGATTTGCTTCAACATCCGACGATATAGGTCTTTCAATTGTGTTGGCACTTCTTCAAGAACTTGTAGCACCTCCCAAGCCATTACCTCCTTCAGCTCTTTAACGACAAGAGACACCCAGAGAAAAGTGCCACCAGCCTTTTGTTGCATTTTGTCCCGCACCGACTCTCGGAGGATGTTGTCATGTTGAATTTCTGGTAATTCCGAAAGGCAATGGTCGATATACGCATCAACGGCACGGGATACTTGCGTCGCGTTTTGTTTGAGCTCTAGACTCAGCCTAGTTCCGGAATCGTCAAGTTGCAGTCTCTGCTCAATAAAAGCCTCGTTGCGGCTAGCAACTATCCACTTAACACGAGGAGATATAGACGACTTCTGCGCAATAAAGTCTAAGAGTTTCGGCAAGTCCATTACGCACTCGTCAAGTGCATCAATGATCAAATATGTGGTCTTTAAGCTCGGGTCTTGCAGAATATCTATGAAGATTTCCAACAAGGCAAACCAAGCATTCACATCCTCGAAGAGCGCTTTGCCTGCGTGGTCGTGCTTCTTTCGTATGTGCAAGATGAGCGATGGCTGCTGATTAACAAGCATGTACAACAGACCTCGTAGCACGGACGTGGCGCTGTTAATGCGCGAGTCAGTTGCTTGACAGAAAAAGTACGACACAAGGCCTGTTGCGCCTATTGAGCGCTGTAGTTCGTCGACAATCCCACATATCAGCATTGTCTTCCCTTTGCCAGGATCAGCCTTGACCCACAACAGTTGGTTCTCTGGTCCATCGCGCCATTGCCGGAAGTCCGGGTTGTCGAGAACCCAGCGGTATGAGTCCTTTAGTAGTCCGCCTTTAGTCTCCTCAATACGCTTCTTGTCGTCGCGAGGATCGGTAAGGCGCAGGTCCGCTAGGCACTTGTTGTCCGCGCTTGTTTCGTGCATCCTCTCCTGCTGCTTGGTCTGCTCCCGAATGGCTGAGCTAATGCTGTCCAGCTTAACATTCTGAGACTTGGCCATTTCAGCAATCGCGCCGAGCCGAGTCCGGATCGAGAGCGTATTGTACTGCGCCGAGTCCGCCTGCACTGCCGCCTCGGCTGCTTGTATATCGCTTAGCTCGCCATCCCAATTATCCAGCTTAATAAGGTCTCGTGCGAACACCGAAAGCCGTCTACGGTGGTAGTAGCACACGCTCTTCATCTGGTAGAGCAGCAACTTCGCATAGAGCTGGATAATGACCTTCTCGAGCTCATCACGCAGGCCTGAAGAATGCGCCTCAGTCATGTTCTCGTCTAGTAAGAGGGTCGAAAGATTCCAGTACCAGTCCATCCTCGACACAACATAGGCGATGCCCTGCCGGTTAGAGCTCGCCTGGGTGAGCGGGTTCATCAGAATCTTAGCCATGCACATTAGTGCCAGACGATTTTATGAGTGGCAGTAGTACAAACCTCAAGCGCAAAGCAGACACCCACCCAGGCGACAGCTGCTTCAGGCGATGCCTGGATCGCTTTGTCCACAACCTCTTTCACGGCCATGGCGGCCTGGATGCCGTCTTCCATCCCCTGCTTCACCTTGGCATCCTTCTCCGTTCTGCGTAGCCCATTCTGAACGAGCTGCTGCATCTGCATACGCCTTTTACCTGTGTCCTGTGCAATCTCGTTCTGCTGCAACGCGAGGTCTGCAGAGTAGTAGAGGTTGGAAGCGTCTGCATCTTGTTCGCTCAGCCGAGCAGACAAGATCTTTTCGTAGGTATCAACGGTGCTCGAACCGCTTATCTTCGCCTGGTCGTATGCTTGGTTCCAGAGGCGTGCTGGCAGAACGGGCGGAGACGTGGCAGCATCAGGAGCGGCCCGTGCAGGTGGGGTAATGGATGGCAAGGCTTCAACACGCGGGGATGTGGGCAGATCCTTTTGGCCGAATTTGGCCTTGAGACGGTTTCGCCAAGACATAGTAGATGGAAGAAGTGGCAAACAGCTGTTGTGAGAGACAGCTGTTGTGAGAGGGAGGAAATAGTAGATATATATTTCGAGGCGTTGAGGTAACTAGCGACAGGATTGCGACCTGCAGCTGTGGGCTCAGCCTCAAATGCTGCGGGCTCAGCCTCAAATGCTGCAAGTAAGCAAATACGCGAAATGTTGGATTGTTGGCCGCGACACAGAAAGGCTAAAAGCAGTCGTAGTTGAAAGTGAACAACAAAGACATCGCGAGACTCGAAGGACTCTTGCATTTTGCTTTTGTTGCGACGGCGAGAGGTGCAGGGCGCAAGTCATGCGACATAACGACCAAACCTTGCGTACTTTTGAAGTGAGGTATCTCAATACTTTATCGCTTACTGCAAGATACATTGGTTGCAGCGCATTGTCCTTAACAGAGGCGGGTTTGCAAGTGATCAAGGTGCATCCCTAGGTAACGAGACAACCAGTATAACGACACTTTTTCATCTGGACCTTCGGCGTCAGGCCAGCGCTGCTATATAGAGTTAAGCTCAACGCGTATCAATTCTATAGCTGCTGCTCTTCTAGCGTATCAGCCTCCGATGCCAGAAAGCACGTCGTCAACCGTGCTATCGCTCGTTCTATTGATGCTATCGACTAACTCTCCTCTAACATCCCCCTGCTCCTCCGCGATAGTACACTTCTGCGAATAGCTTGGTATGCTAGAAAAGAAGCTATGATAGCAAATATTAAGACTGCAGTCTTAAAAAGTCGATTTAAAGCAGTAAGTATAGATCCCGGCAGTTTCTCTGCGTGAGCGACAGGATCGTCGACACGCGTGTGATCGGCCGTGCGACGTAAGCGACATTTGCCCGGTAACTAGTAGCGTGACCGAGTCTTTAGTAGCCGTGCTCGACCCCCGCGACATATAGCCAATAATTACTTCGCATGTCAGTGTACCCTAACTCTGCATCAATTTGCTATGCTCCTGAATAGATGAAGCAGGCAGACCTTACCCTGTAATTAAGAAGCAGTGCATCTACATGCTGCTCTCTCAGCTGCTCCTATGTTTCAAGCTCTTAATCTAGAGCTTTGCCAGTCTGTGACAATCTCAAACCTTGCCAGTGGGCGCGCTCACACCTTTCTCTGGCGCAGCTGGAGAGAAGACCACCTAAGACTGCTCTTGTGACGCAAGCAATTCACTACGGTGTTAGCGACATGCGCGAGTAGTTGGGTGGTGCTCTCCAAGGACAACACTGCACCTATCGCATGCTCTGTCGTACAGAGCAAGGAGCTCCTTGTAATCACATCGCTTCGCAAGCAGGTGAGCGTGTTAGGGTGCTCGTGCCCAAGCGCTTTCTCGTACCCTTCTAGCGCCCGTCGATGCATCCTCTCTACCTTCTTATACTTGTCCTGACTCTCTAGCACCGACCTAAGGTTACTAACGCTAGTAAGCGTGTGAGGGTGCTCGTGCCCCAGTGTTCTCCTCCTAGTCTCCATTACTTGCACAAACAGCTCTTCGGCTCCCTTATATCGTCCATCACTGTATAGAGCTATAGCGCATCGATGTGCTAGATTCAATCTCTCCTCGTTATTATTCCTCTCACTATGTGACATTATGTACTGTGCGTGCGGAAGCAGTCGCCTCTATTTACTTCTGTTACTGTGGTTGTCATTTAGAAATAACTGGAATAGCTGTGTGATTGTGCGTTGATTCCATTTGTGAAGCCGTCCCTGCACCTGCACCTGCTCTCGTAGTAAGGCTTGATACACTAACTAACGTGCGGGGATCAGTAAGCTGGCCGCCCCACCCAACTTGACACGACGCTCTACACAACCACCACAATGCCGCGACAACAACGCCTTATACAGACTTTTTGTGATAGTAGAATAAGTCTTACTATATCATCCTATCATAACAATCTAGAACAACCAATCTACGCCTTTGCGAAAGCGTAGTACGATATGCTAAAGTCAACTTTTTAGACGCGCCTCTATGGTATCTAGCCACGATTAGAGATAGTCTCTGTCAACCATAAGCTATTACCTATTACCTATCAAAGAGCAGTTACTCGTGCAGTAGATCCTAGCCCTTAATTAGCGTGGTTTTCTACCCTATATTATTGACGTACGACGAATGGTAGACACGTTACTCACCGCGCGTGGTTAAGATTCACCTCCACAACCTGTAGTTAAGAAATAGGTGTTGCGCTTTATCCAGAGCCAGCCAGAGCTTCAGACGAAGTGGACTAGAAGGCTTAATAGCTAGCGCGCCTAGTACGAAGATCCTACTATAATCGCAGCGTGGTTTAAGCTAGTAGAAGAGACGCGCTAGACGTACGGTATTCTAGACTAAGATATCTATAACTTTGATGAGACTGGATTTGCTATGGGTGTCGCGGTAACGATAAAAGTCGTAACTAGCGCTAATAGAGTTAGTTGAGTAGTTTTCGTACAGCTAGGTAATCGCGAGTGGGTAATAGTAATTAAGTGTGTTAACGCGTCTAGCTGGTCTCTCCTACTGTTCGTAATCCTCTTTAGTAAGGTCTACTAGAGCAGCTAGTACCGTAACCTCCCGCTAAACTGGACTATCGCAGTATTAGATAACGGCTAGACGACTAATTAGCTTGGAGTAGAGTGGGTGAAATACTTTAATTTGTATACGGCGGCTCGCACAGCTAGAGTCTATCAGCTTCTTATTCTAGATAGCTATAGCAGCCACATTACGGTAAATTTTAACTAATACTATATAGGAAATACAATTATCACTCTCTATATACCACCTTATACCTCTTATCTCCTCTAGCCTCTAGAGGTGAGCTGCCACTCTCCTCTTAAGCGCGCGTTTGGACGTGAAGTTAATGTGCTCGCCTACTAAGGCGTCTATCACGTTAATAATATAGAGTTCCTTAAAGCCTATATACGGACCTAGCCGACAGTTTTCACGCAGCAGAATATTTGTAGCGGAGGTGAGCACCAATGCCCACTAAGTCAATACTACGTGACAACCACTCGGCCGCAGCCAACCTACCAGCAAAAGGTAAGCACGAGAATAATCTGAACTGATTATTCTAGTGTAGTATAATATATATAGGCATGTAACTCCGTTACAATATTCAGGTAGGCTTTCGAGCGACAGGACTTGTCTCTTCTTATCTAGATCGCGTTCCATCGTCGCTTATAATAGCCAGAACACCGTCTTTACCATAGATAACAGCGCAGACAGAGATACTACATATAGTAGCAGAGATTCAGTAGTAAGTGCACTATCTCTAAGAGCGACTACGCCGATAGCTAGAGAGCCTAATGAGCGTTGCAATACGCCAGCTTACTGAAAGCGCTTAACTTGTAATGTAATTAGCGATAATACTTATAGAGGAGAATAAGAGGCTACGTATATAAGTCTAGCGTTAACGTCAAAAGCAGAGTTAGCAGCGTTAATATATCGCTTCGAGTAGAGTGCTCTAGGTGCAGTAGGCTTAGTAGCTTGCTGTAACGTGCATACCGCATAACCGAGAAACCCGCCTTACCGAGATAGAATTGGTATCCGACCTTCTGTTTCCTTTTCGCGTATACATATCGTACTATAATCAATATCGCATTACTCTCTAGACCTACCTCTTGATATAGGTAGTATGTACTACAAAAAATCTAATCGTCTTCGTCTTGCTTTTCGTTATTTCAGGCATAGCGTCTACAGCCCGTCTTCCTTCATACCCCTGCATCACTAAAACTGCTAGGGTATTTTCCAAGTTCGAAGCAGTAAGGCGCTAGACAAATAGCTAAGGCACTGAACCATATACGCAGGATTTGTTTCGATATAGTAGTAGTCGCTTCCGTGAGTTTCTCCGCGTGAAGTGTATTATGCCAAGAGTAATGTACGTTAACGTTGTGGCCTAGCGCGCTTACATAGGGCCGGATAGAAAATAAGTCGCACGTTTTGTATACCGCGCTATGCCTGGTTGACTTACATTGTAGTGCTGCTTTAGTGCGCCAATAGATAGCACAGACTAGCTATCTATGGGTGCTAGCGGATTCTTGCTTGGTGCTTATTCCCACTCTAACGCTAGCTCACTCGTCTCACAAGGCGCTGCTAGCGTCGGCACGTGACTTATATCTTTAGGTTACAAGATAGCAGCTATTATCGCCAGCGCACTTACTAATGGACTGGCTTCCACCCTTTTGGTCCGAATCTCTTAAGCCAACTTGTGCCTAGTGCTTAAGTTAATATTTATCTTTTAACAGTCAACCGCCGTAGCTGAACACTGATACTACTTTCTTTCTTGACAACACTAACAACGATTGTATATTTAAGAGAAATCAAAGCAGACACTTTGATCTTTTACGTCCCTGTGAGTAGTTATAGTATTTTGATTGTAATTTAGCTAAGCATATCTTAGATTGCGACCCCAAGATAGCGTATATATCAACTTGATTAACTGATTAGAAATGAATCCATCTAATTCATGCCAATCTCCAGAACAGCATAGCATGATCTTCTATAAGCAATAGAAGCAGTGAATGTGCAGGTACAGTACTGACCGGGCTGTAGGACTATCAAGCTATGCCTGTTCAGGTTATGGGAGTAGCCGATAGAGCCGCTTCATTTATGATTGGACGGCAAGAAATTCTTATCTGCTAAATCAATTTAGCGGTTGTCACACTATTATCGCTGCGAAGTGCTTACAGAGTTAGTAGGTGTTAGCTACAGCAGAGCGACAAGAAGCAGCTGCAGTTGTCAACTGCATGACGCTCAAGACTTAAGCGTATCGATACTAATACATAAGGTCTTTAATTACTGCATAGCCAATTATTGCGTGACATGCCATCATTATCTGCAACCCATCAACTTCCATTCCCTGTCAGCGAGAAACCGGCCTTGTGAAGATAATCTCTAGACTAGTAGGTGAGTCTTGTCTTCTATATATTGATTTACTGCTGTCTAGGTCCAAAATTTTATAAACACATTTTGCAGGGCATATCAAATAAGACCCTAATGCCCAACAGCTGTCATATGGCCATTTGCTGCGTCCTGGGTGAAAAATTTCTTAGCGCACGTCTTGCAAGGGATTTTGGGGCTCCCATGTCCAGTGGATGTCATGTGGCCGTTTGCTGCGTCCTGGGTGAAAAATTTCTTGGCGCACGTCTTGCAAGGGATGTTGGGGCTCCCGTGTCCAGTGGATGTCATGTGGCCGTTTGCTGCATCCTGGGTGAAGAATTTCTTGGCACACGTCTTGCAAGGGATATTGGGGCTCCCGTGTCCAGTGGATGTCATGTGGCCATTTGCTGCATCCTGTGTGAGAAACTTCTTGGTGCAGGTTTGGCATCTGAGTTGTGGTCCTTTTATGTTATGCTGATTCAAACTATTACTCCGCATGCCGAGAGGCGAAGCATTAGCATGCTCTTTTAGAGTTTTTTTTTTCTCTTGCCGAGATCCTGCTGCAGCATCAGCGCCCGATACACCGCCAAGCAGAAGACAATTGCTATACTAACCAACTGCCTCTCGGATCACTTCTTCCATGGTGTGGGTCTTAGCTATCTCTGCTGCTGGTATAACTGACAGCAACTCCTTAAGCTTCTGCATGCTGTCAGCCGTCAGGCCATGCGCCAAAGTCTTTGCGCCAAGTTGACACGAACCGTCTTAAGCGCTTGCATCTCTGTATCTCGGGCGACGAACTCGCCCATAGTGGGGATGCCTCGGAAACTGAAGTCGATCTTATGCTTACTGACACCTGACGCGCTTAGCTAAGTTTGCATAACATAGTAGGGATTACCTTAATGTATAGTTACATTGAGATCGCGCCCGAAGGAGCTGAGGAGACATATTAACCATGCCCTCGATTACTTCAGCTACTGTCTGAAAGTCTTCCTCTTTTGCATCTTCGAACTTGTTCATATCAAAATGGGTCCGCGAGAGTGACCGCTTATCCGTCGACTCAGAGAGATCTAGACATCCAGCACGCTGGCTAACTACAAACCTCTGTAACTGTTAGCATAACTATTATATACCATGTCTAGCTAACTTACAATCCGATTTTGCTTACCTACGATCCTCCCTACGTTGCTAGACTTGAGCTCAAAGAAGCAGACGATCTGAGTCTTGTTTGTCTGGTCTCGCATCTTCTTTAAGAAGCTATCTACCAATTCCTGCAGATATGCATTCCCTGGCTGCAGCACCTCAAGCGCGGCAGGCTGCAACTGGTCCTCATGGTACTCACGCCGTGCTGCCTCGAGCATCTCCATCTGGTCCATCCCCTCAGCGCCTCGAAACGGCGTACCGAAGAAGACTAGGCCAGTCGTCGACGAGAACAGTCCAGGCCATTCGTTTGGGTACTGCTCGGCTTCTAGGAGTGCCTGCAGAAACGTTTAGCGACTGCCGCGTCTTCGTCTTATCTATCTATCCGTTCCCTCACCTTTAGCACAACCAGCCCGCCAAAGCAGTGCGCCACGAACACCAGCGGACGAAACGGGACATCCTAGCATAATCAGCGGATACAAAGCATCTACTAAGCACGGTCATCGGCACCTTTCTCTCCCGCTTCAACGCTCTCAGCAGCCGCTCAGCTACAGTTGACACGCTCTGCTGCATCGCCTCCTTGCCAAACCACTGCGACTCATACCCGTACCGCATAATGCGCGCATTTGGCGCTACCACTGGCAGCATGTCGTTGTCGATAAGCCAGTTGCGCCATCTTGGCTCTTCTGCCGTGCCCGCGTTTTTGCACCAGCTGTCGTCGGGATGGGCGCCGAGACCGTGGACTGCGACGATGCTAGCCGGTCAGTTGTAAGCTATGTGCAAGCGGTCGTTACAGGCAAGCGTACTCGATGCTCTGCGCTTGTATGGGTGCTTCACGGAGCACCCTTAGGCCCACGTCCTTGTTAGTGACTGACCGAACCTAGTTCCGTATTAGCCTCGGCGCTCGCCCAGTCTCCTATGCTGGGCCTCACCATTGCTAATTATAAAGAAGAAGCGTCTGCTCACTCCGTCGGATGAGGACTTGGAGGCGACAGGAAGGAAGTGAAAGGAAAGAAAAGGTGAAATAGAAGCAGAGAGAGCGGCACAGCGACATGAGCAGCCAGGCTGAGACAAGGCTGAGCGTCCCAAGCGTTGGCTGTCGTAGCGCTGCGCCGCACCGCCTTCACCTACATCGAGCTGGCTGGCGCCAAATTGTGTAGCAGGAAGCCATTTCTGTCGTAAGCCACACGAAGGCGCCTTCTGTGAACGATGCAGTATTGTCGCGTTCTCTGCTATGCTATCTTCTGTCCCGCGTCATGTATTCCCCCTGACCGTTAGTAACGTTACTGGCCGTCAACTCGATTACTATAATATCATTTGCTGTGCCTTCTCATGCATTGAATCCTTATTAGGGCATTCATCATTGGAGGCATTTACGCACTGCCTAGCTGCTGCTATTCTTAGACTCTAGCCCGCACACTCGACCTCATGCTGCCTCTGCATTCTGCGTTCTGCCTCTCACTAGTATTGCTGCCTCCACTGACATGGACAGAGCTATCTTAGCGCTGGCACAAGACCTGCCTCACAGCGTACCTCGAACATACGCTGCCCTGTCAGAACTAACTAAAGTTCCTCTTTCTACCCTTCACTACCGTGGTTGAGGCAGTAGTAGCTCGCTTGACAATAGCAACTAGTGCCCTCTAGACTCTGTTCCCAAAATTCAGTAGTTAGACAATATAGTTATCCACGTATGCATTTATCGTTTCTCGCCTCTCGCCTCTCGCCTCTCGCTAACCTAGTTATGCATGCTTATAGCTTCGATACCCCTCTCCACCAGGCCCTGCATCATCTACTCAGCTAGCATCTGCATGCTTTCCGCCCTTTGCTCCGCTCCTCTAGTTTCCGTCTTATAGTATACACCCACTCGTCTAAGAACATCCACAGCCAAAGAGCCCCAAACCACACTGCGATAATAACAGTACCCACAAGACTGAGCGCGCTAAACCAGCGAGACGTGTGCCAGACTAAAGCCCAATGAACAGCCATAGTTTGATCAGCTGCAAGTGCAACCTGCATAGAGTTAAGGATCGTAGATACTACAGCAAATACAAATAGTATAGGGCCATAGAGGCGCGCAAAATAGTCTCCATATTGCCCGTGTACCTGCTCGAAGTGAAACTTGCGCAGGAGCAGAGGCGCGTAGAAGTTGAGTCGCGTCAGTCTCAGCTCGCCGAAGCAGTACCTTCTTGACACAGCCGCATCCTCAATATAGCGAAGATCCCCAGCAAATCGACAGAAAGATGGCCAATCAACGTCGCTAGGGACAAGGCGAAGGTGGTCCTGTTGAGCAATATGGAAGTCCGACTCATGTCGGATTAAGTAGCGATACGTGCGCAAGAAGCCGGTTGCTGCTGCGCGAAGACTGCTTTGGCCGTCACCTAACGACCCCAGTTTTTGATCTAGATAGGTCTCCCAGAAGGCATGCGATAGAAGATATCTCGGAATGGGTTTGATAAATATGCGGTCGTGGATCCAGACCAGGTGGAGACGGGGGTCTTCTGTGATGATAATCTCACGGCCTTTAACGCGTTGGTGGTGCAACGGGTTCACGTTTGCACTTGACATGGTTGTCATAATCCATAAACGCGGTGATATTCTCTCGAGGTCGTCTGACCGTAGATCAGCCTCAAGAAACTGCTTCGTGAGACTGAGGTCGTTAAGTGGAATCGAAGGCTGGCCAGGCAAGGTTGTACTCTGCGATGCGCTAGGTTCCGGGTCTAGATCGCAAACAAGCTGATTTACTTTTAAGAACGGCGGCATAACGGCGGCATAGTAGCGTTGAATGCAGAGGAGATCGAAGAAGTTCAGTTTCGACCTTTGCAATGATGTTTCATGAACGCTAATCGAGCAGACAGCGCAGTCCATCCTAAGCAGTTGGGCGCGGCGCAACCCCCACCACCGCCGGGCGCTTGCCGACGCAGGCGGCGCTCAGCCTTGCGCTTCTGCCCTGCAGCTTAGCCTTGGGTCTCAGCCTTGGGTCTCAGCTGAGCTGCTCGCGCCGCTGTCTTGCTTTCATTGCCTTGCCTTGCCTTCCCCTCTCCACCTCTCTCTTCCTGTCTCTTCCTGTCTCTTCTTATATATCACCTATTATATCTTCTCGCCTCTAATCCCTCATCCAATCCCTCGAGCAGACCCTGCTCTCTTACTATCAGCAATGGTGGGTCTGGCACGGGAGGGTGCGCACCGAGGCTAACGCGGGGCTAGGTTCGACCTATCACTAGCAAGGACGTGGGCCTAAGGGTGCTCCGTGAAGCGCCGGCCGAAGCGCAGAACATCGAGTACGTTTGCCTGTAATGACTCCTTACACACAACGCACAGCTCACTAGATAGCATTGTCGCAGTCCACGGTCTCGGTGCCCACCCTGACGACAGCTGGTGCAAGAACGCGGGCACGACAGAGGAGCCACAATGGCGCAACTGGCTTGTCGAGCACGACATGCTGCCAGCGGTAGCGCCGAGCGCACGCATCATGCGGTACGGATATGAGTCGCAGTGGTTCGGCCAAGAGGCGATGCAGCAGAGCGTGTCTACTGTGGCCGAGCGGTTGCTAAGAGCGTTGAAGCGGGAGAGAAAGGTGCCGATGACCGTGCTTAGTAGATGCTTTGTATCCGCTGATTATGCTAGGATGTCCCGTTTCGTCCGCTGGTGTTCGTGGCGCACTGCTTTGGCGGGCTGGTTGTGCTAAAGGTGAGGGAACGGATAGATAGATAAGACGAAGACGCGGCAGTCGCTAAACGTTTCTGCAGGCACTCCTAGAAGCCGAGCAGTACCCAAACGAATGGCCTGGACTGTTCTCGTCGACGACTGGCCTAGTCTTCTTCGGTACGCCGTTTCGAGGCGCCGAGGGGATGAACCAGGTAGAGATGCTTGAGGCGGCGCGGCGTGAACACCACGACGACCAGGTGCAGCCCGCCGTGCTTGAGGTGCTGCAGCCAGGGAACGCATACCTGCAGGACTTAGTCGACAGCTTCCTAAGGAAGATGCGAGGCCAAGCAAACAAGACTCAGGTCGTGTGCTTTTTTGAGCTTAAGTCAAGTAATGTAGGGAACATTGTAGGCAAGCAGGATCGGATTGTAAGTTATGTAGACACTATATATAATGTTTAAACTAATAAAGACTATAGAGATTTGTAGTTAGCCAGCATGCTGGCTGTCTAGATCTTTCTGAGTCGACGGACAAGCGGTCGCTTTCGCGGACCCACTTTGATATGAACAAGTTCGAAGATGCAAAAGAGGAAGACTTTCAGACAGTGGCAGAAGTAATAGAGAGCATAGTTGAGGCGTCTCCTCAGCTCTTGTGGGCGCGATCTCAATGTAACTATACATAACAGTAGTCCCTACTATATTAAACAAGGTGGGCTAAGCACGCCAGGTGTCAGTAAGCACAAAGTCGACTTCAGTCTCCGAGGTATTCCTATTGTGAGTCAGTTCGTCGCTAGAGATTTAGAGATGCAAGCGCTCGAGAAGACTCTTGTCAAGACTTCACCCGCTACAAGTCGTCCAAGAAACGTTGTGATCGTCCACGGACTAGGTGGCATTGGTAAGACGCAGCTGGTGGTGGAGTTTGCACGAAAGCACCAGCGTCAGTTTAGTGCAGTGTTCTGGCTAGATGGATCGTCCGAGGCCAGCCTAAAGCAGTCGTTCATTGACATATCGCAGAGACTTCCACGCTGCGAGCTGACGGCTGACGGCGTGCAAATGCTTAGCCAGGCCACTGTCGAGGCTGATGCGGCAGTGCGCGAGTGTCGGCAGTGGCTATCCATATCATCCAACTACCACTGGCTCTTAATTGTAGATAACGTCGACCGCGACCACCGCGATAAAGGTGACTCGCAGGCATACAATGTGAAGGAATACTTCCCAGACGCAGACCACGGATCGGTCCTAATCACGAGCCGGCTGGCTAGTCTCCAGCGGCTCGGATCTGGCGTCAAGGTGGGAATAGTGGCAGCAGAGCAGGCCCGTGCTATACTCGAGAATAACGCTGGGAGAGTAGTCAAAGGCATGAGAAAGGCTTCACCTGTTAAATGGATGTTGCTAACACAGCCTAAATAGACGCCGAAATGGTGCTTGGACTGCTTCACGGGCTCCCACTAGCCCTCACCCAAGCCGGGTCGTACATGCGCGAGACAAATGTGTCAGCGGCTGCGTATGCGAAGCACTACGACAGCACGTGGGGTCGCTTGATGAAGAAAGAGGGTCGCTTTCCGCTCGACGAGTATGGCGATCGCAGCGTGCAGACTACTTGGACCATATCGTACGAGCAGGTTCAGCGGCGGAGCGATGGGGCAGCTTGTCTGCTAAAGTTGTGGGGTTTTCTAGACAGCGGAGAGGTGTGGTACGAGCTTATTGCAGCATGCAAGGATTTGGCGGAAGAGACAGATGTTCCAACATGGCTGCTAGAGATGGCTGAGGATGAGTTAGAGTTTGCAGAAGTAATGGGCCTGTTGTCGCGCTACTCGCTTATCGATGGCAAAGAAGGCACTGACAGCTACTCGATGCATTCAGTACTGCATCGATGGTGTAGCTCCCAGGCGAAAGATGAGGAGCGGCAGGCACTAGGTTGCTTGGCAGTAGAGCTAGTGGAATCAAGCGTACCTTCAAAGTCGGAAACGGAGTTCTGGAGGAAGCGGAAGCGGATTATGGCGCATGGGGCGTATGTTAGTAGATGGATAGTGAAGGAAGATAAGCTAGGTGAGAGGCAGGGCATGAAGACTTTTATACAGCCAGGATCGTTTTATAATCTTGGATATCTGCTTGACGATGAGCATAGGCAGCAAGCAGAGCAGATGTACCAGCGAGCGCTGGCTGGATACGAAAAAGCATGGGGGCCAGACCATACAGAGACACTCGACACCGTCAACAACTTGGGCGTTCTTTATGCAGACTTAGGCAAGCTCGAACAAGCCGAGCACATGTACCAGCGAGCGCTGGCTGGAAAGGAGAAGGCATGGGGACCAGACCACACATCGACACTTGACACCGTCAATAACTTAGGCGTTCTCTACAAAGCCCTAGGCAAGCTCGAGCAAGCCGAGCACATGTACCAGCGAGCGCTGGCTGGATATGAGAAAGCATGGGGGCCAGACCACACAAAGACACTCGACACCGTCAACAACTTGGGCGTTCTTTATGCAGACTTAGGCAAGCTCGAGCAAGCCGAGCACATGTACCAGCGAGCGCTGGCTGGATACAAGAAGGCATGGGGGCCAGACCACACAGAGACACTCGACACGATCAACAATTTGGGCCTTCTTTATGCAGACCTAGGCAAGCTCGAACAAGCAGAGCACATGTACCAGCAAGCGCTGGCTGGATATGAGAAAGCATGGGGGCCAGATCATGCAAAGACACTCGACACGGTCAACAATTT